TAATTTTTGCAAAGAAATGTAGTGTTTCAAAACTGCAGAATGTTTCACTTAGAGCTGCCTTAGCATATTAACATCATGAGCCAAGTAATATTGTTTAACACCAATTACCTGTCACGAATTGCGTGGAAGCAAAGGCGGTAGTCGGATCTAAATGCAGCAGTAGACTTTAATAATACAGACTTGGGTAAACTCAGAACAGGCAAGACACAAGACACTCGTGGTACGTAAATGCATTCAATAACTGACCAAGACAGGGGCAGAAACACAGGGCTTAAATCAGAGACAAACGAGCAGACAGGATAACAAGGGGGCGTGGATAACAAGAAACACCTGGGAGAACTAATGACAAGACAGGGAACCACTAAACATGACAGGACACGAAACCACATCGTAACATTACCAGTGTGCACATAAAAATTCTCATGTAGGTTATCTCAAAAAAGAGGAATTTAATTATCTGTATATGTCCAGAGTTCAGACAGCTTTACCGCTTAAAAGTCCTTCCCTTGTATGAGTGAGCATCAGTAGCATGAGTCGCATTTCAGTGACGTCAACTCCCCTCTTCGATTGATTGGCTAGAGGAGGAGCTGTCAATCTAGAACTAGTGGACCAATGGAGCGAAAAAAGAGCGAAAAACATGAACAAATTTAAGTTTCGTGCAAAATATTTTTTAATGTGTTTAAAGTTTTTATTCATGCTTGTTATTCTTTGATTCACACCTATTATTTTTTGATCCGTGGCAATACATTTGGTGGGATTTTGATCTCATAGACCAGCACGCCCATGGGCACACAAGTTGGCGCAAATACATTTGCTATTTAAACAACGTAGCGCATGACGTGGAAATGATAACTGCGTCAGGCTGAAACTAGCAAAAAAACACTTGCGTCCTGCCTGGCGCAGCATTGAGCCGGGTGTATGATAGGGCCCTATATTTGTATTGCAATAAAACATAATTGTTAATGCATGAAATAATTTGTTTATCAGATCAGTTAGAAGTTGAGAATGGGATTGTGTAGTATCGAAAGTTTGGCAGGCCAATGTAGACATATTTTTAGAAATCTTTAAACCTTCTAGAATCTGTTTTTATTTTTTTGTTTACATCAGGACTTCCTGATTCAGAATCGAATCGTGTCACACCTAAAAATTCCCATCCCAAGTGTTGCAAAACTTGCTTTAAGGTTATGTAGCCACACATTTAATTGTTCATATTTTATCCCTGACTTGGATACTATTTGAAGTATCAAAATAGCATTAGTGTTTGCAAAAGTTTAGGAAGTTAGACCAGAGTGCCTCTCTGACTCACCTATTTCTCATTACTTCTTGCATCTTCCCTGCCTGAAATCTTCCCTTTATCTTTTGTTTTTGTCTTTAGCCTGGTGTAATAACAGATACCTGAGTCTCATGGGGTGCTTAAGTTTGCCTGTCACAACTACAAAACTGTGACATTTTTTTTCTTCTTTTTTTTCACCTTCAGTTCCAATGTGCATGAACGACAAAAAAAAAAAGTATTTGACAACTAAGAGCCAGATTAACTAACAGCTTGCGCCAGCGCAAAACCTTGTTTGGCAGGATTTCTTGAAGACACGCAGTGAAAATTTTGTGAAGAAAAGGCATGTACAAAGTTATGTCTGTCAGGACCACTGTCGTCAACGATGATTGAAAAATAGAATATAGTTTGGAACTCCCTGCCCATCCATGCAGCCTAGCATAGGCAGGGAGAGCAGCGATAACCCCCGCGTTGCTATTTTGAAGCAACAGAAATAGACTGCAACTGAAACCTGGTCTTAAGTCAATTGCACAATATTTTTTTGCTATTTAAAGAGTGCGTTAGTAATGTGCACCTATAGGTGGGTCCAACACGCGCTACACTCTGCTTATTACACACACAGGGAAGTGCAGCAACACACAAACATGCCATATATTAAAAATAAAAGGATTACAATGTAATATATTGTTATTAATTATTATTATTATTGTACATAAAGCTATGGTGGAGTCTGCCTTGTCCTGTACATGGTCTGCTTGCGTGCTTTAACCTCGCGCACAAGCAGATCTGTTTGCTCTCTGTAGAAGCGTTCTGTCTTTCCGCTTGCATATTCCGCCGTGTAAATAGGAATCCGCCATGGCGCGAGCGCAACTGGCATTTAAAGGGAATGGGAGATGAGACTCTGATTGGTTTATTGCACGTTAAGCCCCAAACACACCCATTACTCATTTAGGGACAACCCTTTGAAGGCGATGATACACAGGGCAACTTTTTGAGCAATGTTGCTGTGCAATCTTGCCAAGCGATTGTTGCTTGGGTACTTCCCTAATGAAAATGGGCAATACATTTCTATCTGGATTAGGGGTGTCGCAATATACCGGTGTTGACGATAATTGTGATATTCAAAGCATGAAATATCGACATCGTGTTAATTTAGAGTGTGGCAATATACCGGTATTGACGATAACCACGATGTTTAAAATGAATAGGACTGTTATGAGAACATGTAATCATAACATGTAAATACTCCAGCGCGAGTACCTGGTTGACCTCTCAGGTGGCTGTATTGCACCCGCTGACACCTATCAAAGAAGATGCAGCCCGGGCCGCGTAGCTACTCTGAGAAGAATATCGTCTGAGCGAGAGAGTGAAACACTGTCCACACCCGAAAAAAGAAGCGCAGCGCCACGTCTTTAAAATTCGAACACATTTTCTCTTTGAGCGTACACACACCGGTTGTGCCATTCGGCGTCTGTCCGCGGAGCCCAGCAACGGCTCTTGTTCAAAATCCTGCCGCGACACAGAGCGCCATTTACATTAAATATATTAAATCTTTTTTAAAAAAATGAGTTTTATATTAATTTACATTATATTTGTCTCAAATCATCGTAAATGACTTCACCCTGTGCTGCAATGTACATTTAGTTCAACATTAATTTACAGAAATCAGCTGCTTGAATGAAAATTGCTGATGTTGTCGGATTTTCAGGTGATATTCTCAATTCATTCTGTAAATGGATGCTCTGAGGTAAAGTGTTCAGATCACAGACTCAGCAACTATTGTATTTAATTGTACAGTACAATCATAACATAGTACAGACATTATCTTAATTTCATAATCTCCTTAAACATAAGAATACTGCTGGCCATAAACAGAGAAAGTGCGCGTCCGGTGTGCGATACCTCGAGTTGTCCTACACGCGATGCAGCGCTGCAGAATGTGTAGCCACCAACCTTTTTACCCATCTCCGTGTCCACCCTGCGGATTATGCAATTTTACAGAGAACACATTGCGATTATTGGTAACGCTTCCTTTTACAGTACAGTACTTACGTGTACTTACAGTGTACTTACCTAGAAAGTACTGGCTAATATAAGGTAAGAACATAGGTTAGGGGTAGGTTCAGGGTTAGTACCTAGTTATTACCCAGTAATTATAATTACTATAATAAGTACATAGTAAGTACATGGGTAACAGGACTGTAAAAGGAAGTGTTACCCGATTATTTTACTAGTCATGGAATGGGAAACATGACATTAACCTGGGTTTCTGTGTTCATACATTTAATAAAGGGTGATAATTTGTATTTGTATTTGCACTTGATTTTTTTGTTTGTACCCGTAAGTCTGTTGGGTAAAAAAGAAAAACTATATAAACAAAGTAAAAATTTATTTGACTGATAACTACCTAACTTTTCCATAACTTTGCACATGTACCAGTTGGATTTCATTAAATGTTTTGTGTAAAAGTCAAGTCAAGTCACATTTATTTATATAGTGCTTTTTTACAAGAGATAACAGGAAAATAATGCAACAAAGTTTGTATCCAGAAGAAAATAGCGTCACAGTCCAGCTTAAGTAAGTTCAGTGATGTTTCATTTTGTTGTAAAAACAATATTAATTTAGTTAATTTATATATATAGCCACTCTGGAGAAAACCGTGATGTCATTGTCCAGCTCAGTTCAGTTCTCATATAACGGTGTCAATGCAGGCAGATCAATATTATTGTTGAAAATTAAATTAAATGTTAAATTTAATGTCCCCAACTAAGCAAGCCAAAGGCCAATGGCAACAAAGGTGAAAAAAGGCGAAAAAGGCGACAATGGCATGGAACCAAAACTCCATCAGGTGGCAGGAATAATGTCAATTTACAAATAATGTCAATGTCAGTGTCAAGGCAGGCAGATCAATATTATTGTTGAATATTAAATTGAAAGTCAAATAAAATACCCAGGAACATGCTTTAGTTGGCTTTTAGTAGTAGAAAAGAAAGATTTCAGTCATCATGCCCTGCATGATGACAAGTACTGTACTGTATTCTAAAGGTATAAATGACATGACTTAAAATTAATTATTATTATTACTAACGTAATTGAATAAGTCTGAATAGCATTTGAGTGAAGTAAAAATTCTCCAAATCAATACACAAGTAATGAAGGCCAATTACTCATGTTCTCTGTTCCAACATGCTGAGAGGTTTTTCAGTCCATAAAATGGCATCATACAATGTCAGATTTCTTCGTAAATAAGAAGAGAGCTAAGTGCAGTTTATAGCAGCACCCAGCACACATAGATGGGGCTTTTTCTGCTCTGTGATGGTTTTCTTAGAAACATTCATATGTTGTCACTGGAACAAAACAGTGCGTCAAATTGAGCAGTGCGGAGGGCTAGTCGTCCCCTCTTTCAACTCAATAAGAGCACTCCCTGAAAATCGCTTTCAATCAATGCTCACTGCTCGATGACTCATCAAAAATAACGCCTCTCTTAAAGTGAGTATGAATGCAGGGTGCAGAGAGACATCCAGATAAATGAGTATGGCCACTTTAATGGCCAGATTGTAGCTTGGTTTCTGGACAAAAACTTTTATAAAACAGCCCCCCCAAAAAATAAAAGTGAGCATAAAACACATTAATTTTATTATGAATAAAGATAATAATACACGTCTTGTATTATTAATTGGAGTGATGTTACTGTAATTTGCATAATTGCAATGTCATTTAGCAGGCATACCTCTATGCGACCTGTGTCTGGTTGAAAACCACGGGAGGGGTCTTCTGTAGTGACCCGGCACTGAATGGCACAACCATTGATCCGGATCTTGTCCTGTTCAAGACCCAACTCAGGAAGACTGCGGCCCTCACACACACGCAGCTGTGCATGAACCAAATCCACACTACCAGAGGAAGAGAGAGAGAGAGAGAGAGAGAGAGAGAGAGAGAGAGAGAGAGAGAGAGAGAGAGAGAGAGAGAGAGAGAGAGAGAGAGAGAGAGAGAGAGAGAGAGAGAGAAGAGAAAGAGAAGAGAGAGAGAGAGAGAGAGAGAGAGAGAGAGAGAGAGAGAGAGAGAGAGAGAGAGAGAGAGAGAGAGAGAGAGAGAGAGAGAGAGAAAGAGAGAGAAAAAGAGAGACGTTATCAGCACTAACTGAAGAATAAACCCTAAAGTGGAAAATAATTAATTACACAAACTTGAAACACCAATCTCACTTTTATCTTTGACAATCACAGCTGCATAATTAATTAGCTGATCTTCCTCCTTTTGAAATGTTTATCCATGAAAGATGTTTGCCCACTTAGTGCTCACACCAATATCACGCAATTTGCTTTGATTCATTCAAATCCATTATGATGTAGACCTATTGATTGTCAGTGAGACACAGTTTCTAATAATCCAAAAACAATCCTTGCTTATTTCAAGCAATTAAAGTCTTTCAAACATGATTCAAAGTTTTTAAAAAAACAAGCAGAATTAGAATAAATGAATTAAAATGGCTATACAAAGAGCATTAAGCACAAATACTAATTTGCTCTCAAAACTATCCTAGGAAATTTCTAGTAAATCACTTCAGAGACTAAAAAGATCTGCTATTTTAGCTGTCAGGCACTATATGCTAATTTTATCGCTAGGCTGCTTAGCTGATAAACCACTTCAACCATTTTTTTTTGAGATTTTGAGAAAGGGGAAAAGACTTAAATTTATTTTATTTTCTTGGTTGGATGTAAAGCATATGGTGGTTAAGGAGTAGCTTTGACATTTCTGTGAAAGACAGGAGGTACGCTAATGACTTGGCATGAAAATGTCAAAAATAAGCTAATAAACCACATGCTGTCTAGCATGCATACATACAACACCTGTACAGATCTTCAACTTGTCAAAAGTAGCACAGGGTAACATCATCTACCAATCTATACAGAATGTGAGGGTGAACTATTTAAAGTCTCAGGTTTGAATGAATTTCCAACCTTGTTTAATTGCATTTTTTTTCTGGTATACAGCTAAAATAGTGCCTTTTTAGCTTCATCTTCGAATGAATGTTGATGCTTGATTAACTGTATGTGTTAATTAAGCATTAGCAGAGTTCTTTTTCTTTTGCACAGAGCTGTTCTTACTCCACACCAGTTGCATTCTGTTAAGCGGTGTGGTGCCAGGTCAACTGAGGAATCAATGTCTGTTAAAGTAAACAAATAGCCAGTGGTCTGTAAATGCAAACTAGATTATGGCCTAGTTAATTGAAACAAAATCCAAGGGTGAATATGGCACAAACTCATATTTTCAGTGGACATGACCTGCTATTGAACAAAGTACAGTACATTAGCAATGTACATTACTGTCAGAGGATGTGAAACTAGGAGAAGAAAACAAATAAAAGAGCCAAATTAACCGAAAATGAAAATTGCTAAATTTCTTCACAAATATTACAAAGCTGACATTTGAAGTGGTCCATATTTGACCACAGCCTAAAATGGACAAATCATGTTTAGCTTCACATCTAATAATGTCAAGAACAACAAGTTTGTGTCAGGGTTAGGTTTAAGGGTATGGTATTGTAAACATAATTATATTAGTATAAATACCACTGATTTAGCTTCGAAGGTCTAGTGTGTTTGTTTATTTTGTGCAATGTGAATCTAATAGGTCGAAGTGTGAACTGGGGAATATCGACCCACACACATTTTGTCAAACACACACATGCAGTAGATACACACACAGAATTCGGATGAATCACACAACATACTATGAAGACCGAAACATACATACATAGACAGCAGCCCAAAAATATGTTTTTTTTGCATCTCTAAATGATAAAGTTCTTGTCACATTATGTCTGAGTCTTAGTTGGTTATCAACTAACTTAGTTTCTTTGGTTTTCATGATTGCATTATTTTCCATGGTTCCCTCCCTTTGATTACCCTTTGCATAAACACTATAGCCCTGAGTTTTTTGTGTTAAGGCTGGGCCACACTAAAATATTTAGAAAATCTTATCAGATTTTCAAAATGTGAGAGACCACAAACATGGCGATAAAAAAAAATCAAAGATTTAACAGTTTTGTTCCTATAGTGTGTGTCGTCCCACAATGTGACCAAGACAGCACACCACACACCAACAGATTCCATTCACAAACAAGAGTCCCGACTGTGAGCACTGGAAATCTCGCAAAATCGTCAGGCAAGAAGAAATGGTGATAATTGTGTTTGGACAGCTTTTTACAGAATATTATTTTACAGAATAATATATTTGCGAGGAAAAACGTTTGGATGAAGTTGTGGAAACGTCGTGAATGTTGGTTTCGCTCCACGTGACAATCTACAGAGTTAGCGCACATTTGTCCTCGGGGTTCCCCCCACACAACAGGATTTCTGATCATACATTTTCAACATATTGGATTTTTACAATTTGAGATCGATGCAGTCCCGGCATAGCCTGGCTCCGCCCTCCTACGTACTTCCGCTCAATTTTCATTTTCCTTCAGTACGTCGTCTGGGTTTGCGGTATATTCGCGGGTTTTCTCAGGCCAATTTTTACCTATCCAATCAGCGAGCAGAGGGAGTGGCTGAGAACAATGACGTTGAGGTTGTGCGCTAGTTTGAGTTGTAGTTCAGTAATGGCGGTGGAGAAAGATGCGAGCGAAGCCATTCGGTCCGTTGTGGCAACGCTGCCGAATATCCTGAAGTTAAAGCCAGAGCAAGAACAATCTTTGCTGAGTTCTGTTGGTGGCCATGATGATGTGGCCCTCCTCCCCAAGGGTTAGGGAAAGTTTGATTTTTCAGCTCGCTCCGTTAGTGGTGAATGACTTGGCTAAGGCGAACGCTAGCGATTGGTTATGGGAGATATAGAGTGGCTCTGGGCAGATCCAATAGTTTTAAACTTCAACAGAGTACCTGCCTTCAAGGAAGTTAACGCTTGTCAATGGGGAGTGGCCAGACTCTCTGTACAAATGAAATGTACAAGAGTCTGGTAGGACCAGGCTAGTCTCGACATTCTTGCAAGCAGATTATGAAAATCTGATAAGATAATCAGTAGAACCATTAAGTTAAGCGGGACTTTACCTAGGATTGCCTGGGGAGACTTGGGCCGAATATCGGCTTGATTATCTTTATTTGTCTGATTTCGTCTTTTTTGTGGTTGTTCTGTTTGGTGCATTTTTGTACTCTGACATACTGAGAGTCTGTTATTTTGATTTAGTGTGTGTTAAAATCAACGGTTGCGATTAGATCCAGCCTCTATTTCATCCTTGCCTCAACCTTAGCATGACAGTTTTCCAGAGAAAGTGAATACCATTTCAACACATCAATTTAAGCAACAAATTGTGCACTTAAGCAGGGCAAGAGTCCTTACAGTAGCAAACCACAACAGCGTTTAAGTCTGATCTTGTGGAGTACCCAGCTAATAATCTTTAGTTTTCTTGTGGAGGTTGAGTACAGCCCCAGAGCCCCAGCACATTAAACCATAATGAAAGTATTGTTTTTCTGCCTGTTTCTTTTTATAGTTTTTCCCTCGTTATCCGTGCCTACCAAAAAATGTGGGATGTGGATGAGATGAAAATATACTGATTACACCCACAAAAAGAAATTTGAGAAAAACTCCGGATGAAAGGAAATGCAACTTTGGAAACATGCTTTTCTGTTTGTTTATTTGTTTGACCAGAAAATATAAAGCTGGTTTCAAACTTGACCACTTTTGCATGCAGTAGTAATTCAACAATAAAAAATAAAAAACGACACTAATGACATGCATTCAAAATTATCCTGGCGTTAAATTCTCTAAAAGTTGTGTCAATTACAGCCATTTGTAGCGCTTAAATAGTGACTATACATGTGAAAAAGACGTAGTATTAAATGTATTAAAAATATACTTGAAATTCAAGTAGTATGTTTATAATACATTTGTATTCCCAACATGCTTATTCGAAGTGCATTACAAATATATTGAATTGCATTTTAATATATTTCTAAAAAGTATACTACAAGTACATTGGTAATAAATATATGCTTAGTTACACTTTTAAGTAACATGCTAAACACAAACATACTTTTAGTGAAGTTTTAGTGTATTTACAGAAAACATTCTTACAGTATGTTACTCTTGCTTAAAGTATATGTTATGTGTACTTTGTGCAAGAACATAGCAAAATGATCAAGCTTTTAGTGGGTTTAAAAATATATGTAGTTTATAAACGCTTAGGCATACTGCGATATATTTTAAATAATTATGTATTTATCATTTTAATGTTTTGAAATCATTTTTTACATTTACAATGTACCAACTTATAATCTATTATAAACATTTGTCAACTAGTATTAAGCATTGCAAAAAGCATACATAAAATTTATATATTGTTCACTTTTACTTATTTATTCTTGTAAGGCTACCTAAAAGGCTGTTGTATATTATACGTTTGTACTACTGAAATTCCCACAAGGATTTCAACATCAAATTATTTGAAATGCATAATAAATAAATTTTCCAAAGATGTTTAAAACATTTTTTACTTGTTTAAATTTAAACAACACGTGTAACACATGTGACTAAACCTGATTGGTTCCAGAGCCGTTGAACGGCTGTGATTGGTTCTTAGGATAATTGTAACGGTCACCAGCTGGAGTTCCCTTGAGAGCCACCAGAGGGCACTCCACATCAGACTATTGCCATTCCCTCAAAACTACATCTCCCATAACTCACTGCCCGGACTCTTCATTATCCATTACTCCCAATTATCATAATCACCTGTGTCTCATTATCTTGTTTAGCTCACCCCATATAAGCCAGGTTATCTCATTAATTATCTGCGAAGTCTTGTTTAGTGTTACACTGTAATTCCGAGCATTCTTCCTGGTTTCATGTTTCTTGGTTTTGTATTTCTTGCCTGTTCCGTGGATTACTCTTTTGCCCTTGT